ACGCAGGTCATGAATAGCCTGGCCACACGTAATACAGTGCCGTGTGTCAACGGGCTACATCTGCTGATGCGTTATTGGGATTACATTGTACAGTCCAGTTACTGTCGTGATTTTCGTAGTTTGTTAATCAAAGCCTGCAACTGGTCAGTTCTCGTTATACAGCGAGTCACTCGTCGCCAAATGCAGTCATTGATTTTTAAGTGTTCTCATGAATCAGTAATCACTATATCGTGTTATAATAGCAATATTGTGTTGCATCTTTTAAAATGAACCAGCATATCAGTAGTTACCAAGTATTACACGTACAAGTAACATCAAAGCAAATCTTCAATCTCATTTACTGAGCAATGTTTACAAATTTTGTTTTCTAAGGGTGTCTTTTGCTGGGTATGCCTTCCTATCATAATTCTTTGTTTGGTATTTAATGACCTGCGGAGAAAACTAGAAGTGTGTTCTAACCCAAGTTGGCGGTTATTCCCCCAGATAATTAACGCGCAATACAGTCAGTCCGGTGCCAAGATGTAATGACCAGGCCGAGAAACTTTATCCCCGGCAGTGGGACTTTATACACCACAAAAAAAACGACTATGCAAAGCTTCATAAAATCTGACCCAAACCATTCATTAATACACATTTTGAAAGAGTTCCATACATAAAATGTACTCAGCCACAGTCCCTCAACAGGGAGGGACTGAGGGACTTGAGGGACTGTGACTCAGCCAACAGCCCTACGCGAATTTTGTTATGGGGAAAGACATGTCCCCCCCCCCCAAAGGAGTATGATAAACAATTCCCAGAGAACAGAACAGATACGACTGATAGAAGTTTTCGAATTTGTTAGGAGTCCAAACCAAAATATACATGTGTGATGAAGTACAGTGCCCACAATGCATGTAGTTTCCGCTACACAAAGTTCAAGATTATTTATTGTGCAATGAATTGTCACACGTTTGACCACACATTCATAATTTAAATTACATAAAATTGTAAAAATGTAGGTCTCCCCGGAATGAACTTGACCTTCGCACCAAAAAAGACTTGGAAGACAACTACAGCCGACATATTTTTACATTTTCCCATGATATACAAGTTTCTATTTGTTGATAACAAACATTGTAATTCACAATACAGTAGTTTTTAGTAGATGAAATACGTTATGTTCTTGTTGTTGTTCATATACACATAACCAACAATTACCAAACAGACATAATCAGTACAAATGGAAACAGCAACAGCGTTTATTACGTAGAGACAACAAAACATATATGATAAACATAAGATTATACACTGATTATATAGGTTAAAATGACAGTAGTTGAGGTTACATTATAGGGACGTTTAAGGAGAGCGCTCTTCACACATGACGTCACAATGGGATCTGCGCATAAATTAGCACGATGGGTCCGTGCATAAAGGATGATATGACCATAAAAGGTAGTCAGAATATGACGTCACAATGGGATGATGTGCATTAATTATCATAAATGGCCGTAAAGGGAAATTGGATGACGATGACGTCACAATGAAATAATGTGAATAAATTTGCATAAATTACCATATTTGGCGTCACACACTCCTAAGAATTTTTTTAAATGAACGGTAGAGGGCGCTCACACACACGCACACATAACCATTCACCTGCTTATGCTAATAAAATACAAGGTGTTTTGCCAACTAACGGAGTTTATTTAATAAAAGAAGGGTAACACTCGATAAAATATTTACATGGCGTCGTTGAGTATTTTTTGTTTACGCCACGAACAAAAAAACTTAGAATGTGCGTAAGGAAAATAGTTGCATAGCGTGTAAATATATAGCGTGGTTAAATATTTCTTTTTAACGCCACGAAAAATACGTGTATGTAAATAATTCGATTAAAAACCATAGAAAAGAGACAAGTCAATAATAATAAACAGTGACAAATAAAAAAATAATTCATTCTATATATAAATATTTTGTTATTTTATGGTATATTTCTTACTTCCTTCCAATGAGTCAAGCAGTCTGTACACTTTTGGTATTCCGTCACTCAATCAAAATCGCTCATCTGTCGTAAAAGAGAGAAAGAGAAGAAAAAAAATATTAAAACCGATAGTTATATAAAGAGGGTATAAGTTATATGTTTGAAATTTCAAAGTATAAGTCACCTAGTAAAACTTATGCCATAAAGAGATGGATTGAATCCGGTAAAATTCTCGATATATCTGATCACATAAACGCCATTCAAATGTCTATCACAACAGGTATTACAGGACGTATTCACCGCAAAGTATGCAAAGTATGGTTGATCCACGTACTGGGCGTTTATTTTGTTTCGAGAAATCTCCGCATAATACTGGCGGACTACCAAATGAGTTAAAATATTACATGCTATATATTTACCTGATTATTTCACAGAATAACTTTGAATGTATTCTCGTATGACATAAATAATCACACGGAATGTGTTTACCGGGTAACGTGGCGATTTTTGTTTTCCTCGGCGTAGAAGATATACCCTCGCCTTCTTCAACGGCGGTAGACCAATGAAAGCATCCTATATTAGCACATTGTCACATGAGCTGCCTGTGAAATGTTAAAAAACAGTGTTGAACGTTGGAAAAAGCGATTGAAAAGTTAGCGAAGTTGCTTGTATATTAAAAGTCATTGTCATGCGAACCTCGCTGTTAAATTGCGAAAACCTTAACTAAATGTATAGAAAACACCCCATATATAAGCAGATTACGAGTATATCAACAGCGAGATGAAAAACGGACGACGAACCGCTTACAAAGTTGCGAAAAGCGATTGCAAATTTAGTAGATTCATTCGGAAATGTGACCAACGATATTATATTTCATAAATTGCAGTTAAATTACCGTACTGTCTCGTTGCATTTATAGGTCAAAGGTCAATTCAAGAAGTTATTAGTGCAAACCATATCAATTTT